CACCGTAGTTTCCTTTCTTTTTTTCTTTCTTTAATCGATACAAGAGAAAAAAAGATTCTCCTAATAATAGGATACATCCAATCGACGTACGCTCGAGCCGCGGAACATTCAGCTAAAATCGCAATTGCATTTATTAAACTACTTGGAGAACGTTGGCAGAAAAAGAAAAGCAGTAGGGACGATACATGATTAATCCTTAAATTAACATTACGCTTCTCGTCTACGGTTAATTCGTAAAGTATGTGCACTACTAATGCGTCGTGATATCTTTGTTGATTGGTCATAGGTAAGGCCAAAGAGCGGATCTCGGAACGCCCGGGGACCCCTCGGCACGACACGATTTGATTTACGGCAATATTTTTCAGACGCTATTTACATTGTATAATATAATAAGTATAATCGCGCGCGGGTCACCGCCGACCGCATGTCATTCCGAACATCCGCCGTTGCGCCTTCCATCTTGCTTGAAAATCCTAAAACGACACGACGTTAACGGCACACATTTGTCGCTTATGAGGAATAGAACAAAACCGTCTCGAATCCGAGAAGGATCACAGATTTGTTTTCTTCTGCGCGCGCGAGAGAGAGAGACTATTCCACTTTTTTACGAGATGAGAGGAGATACTTCGAGCTCAATAAATAATAGTGACACTATCATCTGGTATATGTTAGTCCCTAGCACATTAATTTCCCTATAAAAAATTCGATACGAAGGCACGAAACGTCTGGGAAAATGTAATCGTGACGGCGATTTTTCGTACGGTTCTTTCGTATCACCCGGTGCGCTTCGTTATTGCGGGCGTCGCGTTGGCTTAATGACATATAAACTTATTTTACAACTTTGATTATTACAACTTAAGAAAAAAAAGAGCAATATGTAAATAATTAGTATTTGCTAATCTGCATACACATAACGCCTCTGGCGCGTATCATCACTCGTGAAAATAAATAACAATCGCTTCCATGCATACACATAATTACAATAAACACTCTGCTCTTCCGCACATTTAACGCTAATTCCCGGTCGTTATGCAATTTCCTAATACTAAATCCAATATTGGATACGATCGGATGTTCAGCGTTAAATTCACGATGAAAATAATAGCAGCTTTGTATCCAAACACACGTGTATATGCTACGCGTTATACATTTGCGGAATATTCCAAGCGTTCTGTGATCATCAGAGAGTTTAGGATACCTATACATACTTTCAATGTTAGTGACTGAAAAACAGAGTGTACAGTAGCGCCAAATACAGCCGTCGTGTAGTCGGAGGAGTTTATCAAGGAGCAAGTTACGAGTACCTTTAAGATTCACAGTATTCTCAAAGACTCTACTAGACATTAAAGAATCTGAAGACATCCTGCTCTTCTATAGACTCGAAATCTCTGTATTCTTACTCTCTAAATCAAATTATCTTCTCTGTGTGACGCATGAAAATTCTTTGAACTACTAAAGAAAATTACGTTTGAATCTATTCTACGATATACACAGCATTTGAAAAGGATGAGAAGCGAGAAGAGGAACATAATGTCGTTCTGCCACAGCGGGAGATTTCATCTGTGGAGATTTAAGTGATGAGAGTTAGGAGGTAAAATATTATTGTATAAAACGTGACTAAATGTGATCCTGCTAAAATTATGCGACGGACGTTCATAGTAAAGTACAAAAGAAGCAAGTGTCACAGTGTTGTGTTTCATTTGTACTATAAAGAGACATTAGAGACACGGAGCAGCGGAAGTCCCTGCGATGTATATGAAATATTATTTATCGTTATAAGAGATACTACTATTACGGAGCTTACAAAATCTGGCAGAGTCTACCACGTAGGCAAAGTACTCGCCGAGTACCTTTGGTAATTTCCGCCGGGAACGAGTCGAAGACTCGAAACTATTCTGCTTTCTTTGTAATGCAAATTTAATATTTTTCTTGGAACTCATAATAACAGCTACGGTGGCAGGTTAGAGTCATTGTGGATACGAAAGATCGCTTGGTGCAATGCAGAAATTTGTGCATCATAGATGAAAAAAGGAAAGTATAAGATTTTGCGTTTTGATGACTCTGACAAGCTAAACGAATGCAACTAACGTGAAGAGTTTACACTATATATTATAACGACTAAATGGATAGCGTCTCTCTAATCAATTTCTTCATGGTGTTGCCCATCGTGGTGGTCGATGGACTAGAAGTCGTGAAAGACAATTTGAAGAGATACGGTTGTATGTCCGGGTACGAGGTATCGAAGATCAGATCCAGCTCGGCCTGACTTGGCACTTTTGGAATGTAATCGTGCCGATTCATGACCTCGGTGATGTAAAGGATCTTGTCGGTCAGCAAATCGCCCACTTTTTCCCGACATATCTGCCGTTCGTGCTCGGTGGCCAATTTGATAAGTTCAAGGCGTACAGTCCACACTTCCCATGGTATACATTCCGGTTGAAACGGCCAGCGACTCTTTTTCCTCTGGAAGAATTCTAGGGATATCTGACCGGAACCTGGACTGTCGGTAGAACGCAGCGCCTCCGAGAAACCTGATATTTCACGCTTCAGCGTCTGATCGAGGTGCACCGACGAGCAGCAGACGTAAGTGAAATCAATGAAGTCGCAGTCCACGTCCTGGTATCCTACAGTGCCCACCGAGTAGCTGCCTTCCTGTTTGTACTTGAATTTGCCAAGGCTCCGATGAAATAGCACGCTGTGGAATATACTTGCCACTGCCTCATCCACCTGACGTCCCTCCATGCTCAATTCGAACAGCTGTGTCCTGGCATTCATGGTGATACCTGTGGAACAATTATCATGCCAACAATCTCTGACAATGTCAAATATTTTATTATATAGTCAATAGTATAATTCCAAGAACAATAATATAAAAATAAGAACAATAAATAAAAGGAGCATAGAAGCTAATATTGTTAACGTAAATATTTTAAATATAAGATTTTGCACGAAGAAGATTCTGTGTGTGGCTTCTATGCTCCTTTTAAATTTCTATTTCACATGGATAAGGAGATACAAAGAAATGACTCATAGTCTAATGACTCTCATCATGACAAAGAGAAACAAAAAAAAAATAAACAGTGAAAGGTTGACTCTTTCGACAAAGATCCGAAACACATGTTTGTCAAGTCATTATTAATTTAAAGAACACGGAAATTTTTATCAATCAGACCGTTACAGCCATGCAAGCCAGCAAGCCTAACCTCAAATTCGTTCAGAATCTAACAAACGGAAGCATGCACGATGTATTGACGCACGTGAGCGACCCATGAAATTCCAAAATCAGCTCGAAATATAAAAGAAAAGCAGGGATCGACACGACGACATCGATCTTGCGATCGATTGTGCTCTTCTCGTTTCGCGCTTTTTACGTAACGAGGCCTCAGGACGAAAAGACAGGGGAAAGGAGGAGAAGAGCCGTGCTCTACTAGGAAAATAACACACTTATCGCCGAAGGCGCGAACTAACTTTGTCGCTCTTTCCCCTTGATATCGAGGCCACCCTCTCGAGATCACTCCGCCTCACCGTCGTCGTCCTCGTCGCCGTCTTCGTGCCGTGCGATGGCGGACAAAACTAGGTTAAGTTTCACGCGTTGATCTGATGACTTCTGCCGCCACGGGTACCGCTACCCGCTTCCATCGAGTCTGTTTTCGCGCGTCCCGTTCTTTTCACGACGCACCACCACCACCGCCGCCACAACCACCACCACCACCACCAACAACAACAATACAACCACTATCACCACCACCACCACCACCACCACGGCCGCCGTCGCCGCTGCCACCAGCACTGCCACCAACTCCGCCGTCGCCGCCTCCACCGCCGCCACCACCACCGCCGCCGTCGTCGTTGTTGTCAACGTCGTCGTTGTCACGTTCTCGTCACGTCGCCGTCACGTCGCTCGCGCAACGAGTTACTCCGACCTGTTCATTCGTCGACAATCTTCCATTGTCCCCGACCAGTCCCGACGACGGGGAGTCCAGGCCGCGCTTGTCCTCTCTCAGCAGCAGCCGCAGCAGTAGTAGCCAGTTAAGCCAGTGGTCCGCTCCACACGGGTTTGTGGGTAAACAACAGCTGTGATCGTGGCACACGCCATCTTGACGCTGCGCTGCTGATTCGCGCTTCAATACCTGGCTTCGCGAGGGCTGGCGGGTCGGCGGGTCCCGGAGCGTGTATACCTTGATGACTCTGCTTAACTCCGCGTACACGCTCGCGGCGACGTCGGGAATCCGGGAAATTCTAAGATTGCCTGGGATGATCGACGAAGACAAAAAAACTCTCTCACTCTCTCTCTCTCTCTTTCTCTTTCGCAGAAGAAAACGATCGTCGCACAACACAACGTTCGATTAGACGTTACAGATTACCGAGTCAGCTGTGACGATCTGTCTGCCTACTCTCCCGAAATCACTCGCCTAGTGCTACATCATGAAATCACGCGACGTATACCATGTACGAAACAACACACAACGTGGATCGATTGACGTCTTGGATCAGGGCCGGAGGCTGACAGTCTGGCACTGGACAAACTGGACTGGATCTCCCACTCCTCTCCGCTCTACTCCGTACTTTACTACTATTGTCCGTACTCCGTACTAATCCAATCTACGATCCACGATAAGTCGTACACCGGATATGTGCGTTGGTGTGCGTCGCGAAAACTGCCGCGCGGCGCTTCGCGGTGAGATCAGCGTCACACGTGCGCAGTTGCAAAAGGCGCGGAACGACTTCGCTTTCTGGAAATCTCGTCGCGACGTGACACCTCGACGCTTCCCGAAATCGCCCCGACGCTTGCTTGATCGCATTCTCGAGCCGTCTGTCGACTCGTCGACTCGTCGACTCTCACCTTTCGAGACATTTACTCCGATGTCGTTTTGATAAATAAGGTTCATTATCAGGTGACTTTCGCGATATTCTATTTATTCTGACCTCTAGCGACAGATTTTCTACCTTCGTGTCTAGGTAGGGCTATATTTAGGGATGTGCGATCTCCGGACCGATTCGATTTTTTGCAAAAAGATCGCTCCGAAATCTATTTTTGTTTAAAAAAAAAAAAAGCGAAATTAATTCTTAAAGAAATCTAAACAAATCATCATGTCAAACTAAGAACATCATTTCTATTTTAACGAGATTTATTTTTCGATCTATGTTTTTTGTGTATTCAAAATCTTCAACTTTTTTAATACGTAAAATGATGATTAGAGTTGATTTATCGAAAAAGAAAAAGAAAAATCTCTACAAAATTATTTATATTATTAGAACAGAATATCTCTCTTATTTTAATGAAATTTATTTTTTTAGTTACATTGATTAAATAATTTTTATTTCTCATAATAAATACTATGCGTTTCTAAAGCTAAGATTTTTTAAATTTGTAAATTGAAAGAGAGAAATCGATTTTATCTATTTATTTATCTAAAAAATTATATAAATTTATAAAACAATTTATTTGTATTACCAAGAAATATATCGTTTCTATTATAGAAATTAATTATAGAAATTTTTTTCTCTATATTGATTAAACCGCTTTTATTCCTCTCGAATACTATATATTTTTAAAGCTCTTTTTTCAATTTAAATTTTCGATGATAAACAATTTCATTGTAACAATTTAATTTATTTTGAGCTGATATTCCTCGATTGCTTTTATTGTTACAAGCAACAGCGATATCTGTATATCTCGGACATTTGTCGGTTGAAAATAGTGCGATGGAAATTTTTAAGAAAAGTCAGAAAATGGTGAAGAAACCATCATCTTTCATTTATAAATTTCCGAAGTCCATGTATGTTGTTATAGAGATATGTCAAGCGATATGTTTAGTGCCGGTCGATTTGTCGCCGTGTGGGATATATTATTTTAGTATTAGGTTTACACAAAAGGCCCTTTGCGTTGTTTATTTTACTTGAACTTCTTTATCCTTCTTATCTTACCGCGGATTTCCTCTCCGCTGTTCCGGATGCTATTCAGCGTTTCTTCAACAAGAAACATCGGTCTTTTTTTTATAAAATCATAAAGCGTACGACATAAAATAAAATGAAATTATAAAAATATTTTCGAACGAAGTACCAAAGATATTTTTTGTAGCGAATCTTTTATTTTAATAACTAACTTTTAAATATATTGTATATTGCATGAAAATATTTTCTGCTGATAATATAATATATAAAATATAACAAAATTATATCACAATATATTTTTGAGATGTATAAAGATATATTTTTTTTGTACTTATTTTTTTACTTACATTAATCATCATTGTCAAACATCAATCGTCATTTTGCAAGCAATAAATCACTGTCTGCGTTCAGCGGAAAAAGTAGTTTTGCAACTGTTGTAAAATTAGTATGATTGATCTTGTTCTTGGTTTTTCACTAGATCTAAAAAATCATTCATATTAAAGAATCTTATACAATAGTTACAGAATTGCTTTTTCTGAATGTAGCTATTAATAATTTATGATTGTCTATCAACAGGTGTTCAACTATTGCCTTTAATTTACTGTATCTTTAAAACAAACCGTCGATTCATAATTTCAAAAAGCTCTTTAAAGTACTGTATCTTTAAATTAAAACGGTTTTTTTTATAAATGAAAGTTTTCTACTTTCGAAATCACCGAATAAATTTCAACAATAAAGCTTGCCAATACAATTTTGCTACGCTCTATACATTGTTAATAATCTAAATTAGTAAATGTTGCACTAAATAATACAAAGTGAGCTTTTGAAAATCTTAAAAACATTTTTATTAGACTAGTTAACATGCTTTGGTATCAATCATGATTACAATATTATATGATATTGCAATAATTGAGTGTATGAAACAAGGAAACAGTCTCTTCGTGTAATGTATAATATCCTTTTATAAAAGATATTGTATTAAATAATATAAAAAAAAGTTTTTGAGAATCTTAGAAACCCTTGCAGAAATATAATACTGGAAGGTAGTGATATTAATCACTTATTTTGGATGTTATAAATTGGTCAGTATTAAATTGGATTTCTGTAAGAAATTTTTATTGCACTAGTTTCAACATGCTATATGTAGAATAATATAAATAAATAGAGAAGCGTCAAATAAATATATGATATTTCTTCGCGGGAGATATTGAACTAAAATAAATCCAAATTATATTGAATTCTCGATTTTTATAAAATCTTCTTTTCTCTATAAAATAAAACAAAAATGATTTTATTAAATCTTATAGAACCGTATATATGAGAGACACAACTAGAAATCAATGCTTTAAACGACATAAAATGATTTTGTCTATTTTACCCGTAATTGTCATTTTTATTTATAATTTTGATTTATTCAGACTTTTAAAAATATGCAGAATAGAGGTTTCTTTGATATGCAAAATAATGCGTACAGTCGAGACATGAACATATATTATTTCCTTGACACACAAGTGGAGATGCATTCGTAATTATACATTAAGATTAAATCAATAAATACTAGAATAAGGCACTATGGAATAAATAAGGCGTGAATTCACGAATAGCACCGTCGTGTAATCCAGCTGGTAGTCGCTCTTCGTAGATATCGCTCGCTATAGTTAATATCGTCGCTATAGTCTGATTGGATTGTCAGAATTTTTTTGTTAGTAATAAGAGAGCTGTTG